AAACCAACCAAAACTTCAAAAAACCCCCTTCCCCTCCCCCTTTAACCAGATCATTTTGTACCCCAAAAAAAAAAAAAAAAAAAAAAAAATCCCGATGCAACACAGAGCTGTCTGTGATTATAACATGGGATTAAGAACGTTTCAAGGGGTGAGAATGCTTCCGCAAGGCACCGTATGGATCTGTTCCCACTGAAGGAACAAAGTAAAGGGCACTTATTTAATAGTTTCCTGGTTCTGCGTGTGTACTCACAGCATACAGACTCACAACATTTTCAAAAAGGACACTGAAAGGTTTCAGCATTTGAGACACATTAAAGACCTTTGTTTTGAGGGTGTGAGTGTGCTGTGTTTATGTGAAGTCCTGAAACATTAGACTGTAAGGCTTCAAATAGTGCTCTGCTGTCTTTGTTTATTTACTCGAGCATTACAGAGCGGTTGGGGCCAAGTTTCCCGCTTGGAGGTAAGGCAGCAACAGGCTTTTATGGTGGAACACATCTGCAGTGCGCTGTGGGGCAACCAGGCCCTGGACACATGGGCCAAATGGGTCTGTTTGGAACTTTGGATACCAGTGGTCTTTAGCGGGATGATGAGAACCAGTCGCTCATAATCATTTCCAACATGAGCCCCTTTCAAGAGCTAATGCACCACAGAACCTCACCGGTCACCAGAAGAGGAGAATGATACTTATGGATAGAAAACAGGCTCTTCTTTTTTCTGTGTTGTTAAAAAAAAAAAAAAAAAGGAATGCTAAAACCAGTGAAGAAAGGAGCGAAAATGAAAAGTCTTCCGTTGTAAATCTGGCTGAGATCTGTTGTGTGCACATCTGTTTCATCTAATGGAAACTCGAAGCCCAGCAGACTGACCTCCAAGCATGGTGGCCCATTTATTTAAACTAGTTAAATGATGATACTAAAATGATGCAACATATTGAGGTCATTTCCCAGCTATTGGCTTGAACAGGTATATTTTTAAGCACTTGCTACATTTACAGAGCCTTGTAAAGGTTTTCATACCCTTTCAACTGTTTTGCATTTTGTCAAGTTGCAACCACCAACTGAAGGAAAATAATACATGGTTTCCAAAAGTAAAAAAAAAAAAAAAAAACTTAAAAATGTTGCTGATGTTTTTCTTAAAATCTGGTGAACAAACTGCAACCGATTGCTTCCAGAAGTCACTTAACCAGCAAACAGAGTCCATCTCTGTGAAGGTTAATTTCAGGATAGAGCCAGTAATTCTGTGAAAGCCTCAAAAGTTTTATAGAGGACAATAAACATGTAAACCCAGGAACACAACAGACAGGCTAGGGATAAAGCTCTGGAGGAGTTAAAAATAGGAATAAATAAATTAACACGTGGCATTACCTGAACAGTTTTGTTTAAGGATATCTTTCATTAAATCTGCTATTTTGCAAAAAAGAATTGGAAGAATTTTCAGTCTGTTAATATTCAGTACCTACAGTTCAGCAAGTACGTGTATTCAGGTGGCTGAACAGAAAAATGCATGCCCCACTTTTACTTTTGCATTTTGACAACCTTGTGCAATTTTTCTTCCAATTCAAATTAAGCTCTTTTTGAGTTGGACTATTAGATCAAATCTCAGCTGTTGTTGATAGTCATGTGATAAATATTGAAAACCTTCCAGGGGGCTTGAAGAAGTTTGTGGTGGACTATAGATCTGTACTTTTATACTGAACGCACTAATGTGTATTCTCTGCTTTTGTCTTTGTTATGTCCCTAGAAAACAGCAGCACTGATCAGAAGCAGGCGTGCAAGAAGCATGAGCTCTACGTCAGTTTCCGTGACTTAGGATGGCAGGTATAAAAACAATACTCGCCAAGATTACTTGGAACTGTAGAAATTGGCACAAAGTCCAGCATTTTACTGGCCTAAAATATGAAAATGTGACTAGATTAAAACATTTTTTTTTGTTTCTTTCTGGAAACATGAGGAACTCAGTCAGTGAGCAAACTCACATCTGGGGTTTAATCTTAGCCTTTCTTTTTTGGGGCAGCTTTGTGAAGTCATTTTTGTTACTTTTTTTGTTTTAAGTTAACAATGTTATGTTATGTTTGCATATCCCCATGTAGGGATAGAAATTAAAATTGTCTCACAAGTTCTCTGAGTCAGTTTTCAAAGCTTAACAAAAAGGACAAGAAAACCCATAAGTCTGTCTGGACTTCTTCTGTCATTTTCTCTTAGGACTGGATCATTGCTCCTGAAGGATATGCTGCATATTACTGTGAGGGAGAGTGTGCCTTCCCGCTGAACTCCTACATGAACGCCACAAACCACGCCATTGTACAAACACTTGTGAGTAGCTGTAAAACCAAGGAAGAAAACGCAACAGACATGTGCTGCCTTAGATCTCTCATCACTTATTTGGCCGTGGAAGGTTTGGGACACAAACATTGCAGGCTCAGATTTTCTGGGGCATTAATCATGAAAAGCTGAGATTTGTGTGTAAGAAATGTTGTCATAACTGGCCTCCTCCTCCTCTTCCTCTCCCTTCTAGGTTCATTTTGTTAATCCTGAGTCGGTTCCTAAGCCTTGCTGTGCGCCAACACAGCTCCATGCCATTTCTGTGCTCTACTTTGACGACAGCTCCAATGTGATCCTGAAGAAGTACCGTAACATGGTCGTTAGGGCTTGTGGCTGTCACTGAACCACCAGCATCTTCACAGGGACGCACACATACGCACATGATGAGAGGAGAATCGACAGGGCGCTCGTTTAAAATGCTGCAGGATTGGAAAGCAGCTTGTGCATTTCGTGTAGACACACTTTTGTAAGGCCAAACATGAATTTCACTCTATTTAAAGGGGCAATTCAACTCCAAGTCTGTTTAAAATAAAAATAAACATGTAGTTCCTGGCTTTGCTGTCATTTTAAGCAGCAAATGAGAAAGACCATAAGTTCATAAAATGGAGCAAATATTTACAAAACAAATCCAACTTAAAAAATTGAGTATGACCTCGTGGAAGATGTTCATTCAGCCACTTATTTTTTTTAAATAAATAAACAAATATGAAATTACGACCACTACTTAAATAACAGATAAATAGATATTCTTTGTTCTTTACTGATTTTTACTGATGAAAATCAATATTATTTATCAATTAAACTTTTTGTTAAGAAATTTGAAGATCTCTTCTTTAGCTCTTTCTTTAGCTGTTTTAATCTGAAACAGTTAAAGGCAGTATATTTGTCTGCTGGATCACTCTACAGTCCTCTTCCGTATTCTGTTATATGCTGTACGCAACCCGCTCTACCAACATAGAACTGTTTCAATTTAAAAACTCATTTGTACTCAGTTTATTTTCACTGCCACAGGATAAAGTCTTAACAAGCCGCAGAGAGGAAGCAGCAAACTAATGTCCTCCTTTGTGATTCTCCAAACAAGATACAATATAGACAACAGAAGAGAGGGACAGAGAACAAGTCCACTTGTGTGCTTTCCTTTCAAACCTTCACAATTTATTTGTTTTTTTGTCTTTGCTTTCTCCCAAGATGCTACAACTTGCTAAGGTCTGCAAGGACTTGATGCTGCAGGATCATATTTGAAAATGTGGAGATACTTGTTTTAGACTTGTATAATTTTTGTCAAATTTTTTGACAATGCCATGAGTTGTAAAACTTTATCTTAAAAGTAATTAATCAAATCATTTTACCTAACCTTTTCATATGATCAGCTTTCTATTTTATTTATATCTATGATCTTTCTTTATTTTTTTTTCCTTTTGTTTTTTGTTCTTATAGCTGAAAGAACATTCTCAAAAACCATGAGCTCCATTTATAAGTTTGAGGCTAACAAGAAAAAAAAAATTACTTACTTTATTTGAAAGTGAACATTTCCTTGAATGATTTTTTCCCATAAATGCACATCGACATACAAACACAATCATGTTTGTGCTTTCTACTGTGTGTACAAGACACATAAAGCATAGACTGTACTGTATAATTGTTCATTCACAGTCAACCATGTGTTATCTTAACAATTATGATAACCATTGTAGTTTATTATGTTTACTATATATATGAATATGTGGCTGATAGAGGAAGATAGAGGACTTTGTATTCCCTCAATGTACAATATTGTGTAAATATTATGTTTTTTTTTTTTTTTTCCAAAAAACAAGAAACAAAAAGCAAGTGTATTTATTTCCTGCATTGCAATTTGGATTTGTTTATTTTATTCTCCTGTATAAAATGCTGTATTATTTTTGGACATAAGCATTGCCTCATTTATTAGGAACATTTTTAGAAATACAAATAGCTGTTTCAAGCATCTTGTTCTGTGTGCTCAATGTTTTCAGGTTTGTACTTCTCTGCTGTAATACAATCTGTTGTATTTAAAAATAAACACCTATTTATTGAGAGCAGGCTAAGCTCTTCCAAAGTGGGCTCCAATTTTTCAACTATGTTTTACTGCTGAACTATCACAATAAAATTGGATAAAGGCAGCAAAACTGATTCGTGACATATTGTTTCACGTGACAAAAATAAAGGGCAAATACCTTGACCCTGGGAGAAACTAGCTCCTTATTCTACGCTATTTACTTTGCACAGAAACATGACATTGTTCATAACTTTCCCTTTCAGTTTGTTGATTTGCCCAGTAGATATTCTACCGGAGAAATCCAAGTGAATGGGAGAAAGGCCTGTTAAGCGAGATTTAAATTGAGCAGAACTGCATATGGCCAGGCTAATGTGCCATATAACTTCCACAAATTCCTGAAATTGTAACTTCTCAAAGTCTCATTCATTTTCAAAGATGTGCTTCAAAGTTGCTAAAATTACTCATGAAACACAGACTTCAAGTATTAGTGTAAGGCTCGTAAGAAGTAAGAAGGGGACGCAAAGTCTTCAGCTCCAGTATTTGAGTTCAGAATATAGAGATCTAGATAGTGATTTGGCCATCAGGTTGGATGAAGCTTTTAACAAACCTATCTGTGCAAAGAAACAAAGTAAAAATGGCTAAAATAACAAGCAAACATATTTAATATAATATAATGTTGTTGTTGTTTTTTTCTTAAATAGTCACTTAAATGTTTTTGTTTCCCCATTCCAGTAGTCAATTTGAACTTTAGCAAGTCGTCTTCACAGTGTCCTGTTCCCTAAATGCAAATGTGATTGGCTGAATCGACGCCTGTGTTTACAGGCAGTAAAACAGGTGGGTCGTGAAAACCACACAGCTCTATGCCGCCATCTGCTGGTGGAAAGTGTTCAGTGTGTTTGTCATCTTAATGAAACTTGCGGTTTCTTTTCTTTCATTGTTTTTTTTGTCAGTCCCATCTTACGCCTACTACGAGCTGAAATGAACACTTAAAAGAAAGGTCGCATCCCCTTTATGTAGGAAAGGTGGAGGAGCGTCTGACAGAAAATGAAAAAAAAAAACAAGTTTGACCACCTACATACTTTCATTTTCACAGGAACGTTTCGTTATGAGTGGCTGCGTGCATGTGTGTGCTTGCTTAACTGTGTGTGAGGTTTTCTTATGTTCTCCTCTAGGCACTAATTAATAGGTGGGTCTCCTTTTCTGTATTAGCATATGTAATTATTACACCTTTCATATACGTTTTCCCTTTCCTGCTTTTGGGATAAGTTTTTTATTTATTTATTTTTTTCTAAAGTCAGTTTAATTATTGTAATGAAAGCAGACATCTACGGCATATCTGATACACATTTTCACTTAATTTTAGTTTTTGCTTATCTTTTCAACAGTATTCCATCAGATACTCAAGGTTACCTTACTTGGAAATGATTAAATGTTCTAAAGAGCAAAGTGTGGAAACCGAAAGCATAAAAATAGCTTCAAAGCTTTCGCTTTCGCTTGTGGGAGCGCTCCGAAGTTTAGTTGCGACTTCTCCATTTAACTTTCCGATGAACTCAGTAGGTGTAAAACTGAGCAGCTTCATTGGCTGACTTCTTATTGGACCTTTATTTTCTGTTTGCCAGAAGGAGAGCTCGAGTGGCGTGATAGACCAAATAATACAGGCATCTTATGTTTGTAAAAGTGGTGTAAACCTATCCGAAGTGGACTGTTGTTCCTGTGACACGCAACATGTGCTGAAGATGGATGGAGCCAAGTTGCACCTGAAAGAGTGGCTGGTAGCTCAGATAGAGAGTGGGAAATATGAAGGCCTGTGCTGGGAGGATGAGGGCAAGACCATGTTCAGGATCCCCTGGAAGCACGCAGCCAAGAAGGACTACAAGCAGACGGAGGATGCGGCTCTCTTTAAGGTCAACACTTTTTATGTTTCACTTTCCCAAAAGTCTTCAGTTTCTTAGCCAGATTATTTCACTGTGCTCTGAAATGGGGACAAAACATTGCTTTCCCTCCGAATGGTAAGCGAAGGAAATCCAAACTGAGTTCAGTTAAAAATCCTACTCAAAATCTGTCATTACGCTATCGTGACATGTGGTTCTATAGGCAAACTTATAAAATGTTTAACTTCGGTGTCGTAAGTGTTAAAGTGCACCTATTTGACTATTTATTCTGAAATCCCATTGTATGTTTTTTTTTTTTTTTTTCGTGTCCAGGACTTTTTAAAGGTGAATAAAAGGTTTAGGTTGTAAGTCCGCTAGGGGGAAAGCAAGATAAAAAAATAAAAAAAAAAAATCTAAGAGGTTTAAAAAAAAAAAAAAAAAAAAACAAAGTGATTTAAAGCGTGTTATTTTGTTTTTCTTCCAGTTATGTTTAATAAAATACATATTCCAATATGTGGAATACAAATCAAAACTATATACTGACTATTATTTGGGGTAAAAAAATAAACAAAAAGCCTTTAAAGGACAAGATTGAAATTACTCCCTGTGCTTATTTAAACATTAAATATTATCACTTTAATACACCAATATGGAAGTCAAATGTCTGTAATTTGGACAAATTGGGTTGATTATCTTTGTTAAAATAAAAGTCTAATAATAGCTGAGCTTTTGGGACACTAATACCAACAAATTAGAATAAATCTAAGCCTTTGCAAACCACAGAGAGATACTGTTACCATCTAACAATAATGACATACCTTTTCAATGACATTCAAGGTTTTTAGGATTACATGACGTTTCGGCACTTTTCCAAAACCTTGAATTTGGTGAAATGTGACAAATTATGGTGTTATGAAGATTAACGTAACATAAATAAATGGTGGGAGTTTCTGATTTTCATTTATTGAACAAATCTGGAAAAATAAGACAGGAATATTTTTTTTTATTATTGTTTGAGCTGTTGATCCATAATCAGAGCTAATTAGGGATAAATTGTCTTATTCTGATCTCTGACTGAGTGGTTGGTGCGTCTAGTATCTGCACATCTAGATCTCCTCCTTGAAAATCCTGCTTTGAATTATGATGTGACCTGTACAAATATTTATTGGGTTGTTGTTTTCTAGGAACGAGGTGGAAATGTTTATATATTCAAAAATGAAATGAAAATTGGTTTTATATGTTTTTGCTGTTTTTCACTCTAGGATTCGAATATGCTATGGATTGATATTATTCAAGCTAATATGATGAGAAAAAAAAAAGTTCTCTACTTCTCATTGTATTACACAGTACGTTTTTTTGGGATAGTTTTCTGAGTCAGTATCCTTTTGCGCAGGCCTGGGCCGTGTATAAAGGCAAATACAAGGAAGGCAGGGATCGAGCTGATCCCACAATGTGGAAAACCCGACTCCGTTGTGCACTTAACAAGAGCACCGACTTCCAGGAAGTTCCTGAACGCAACCAGTTGGACATCACTGAACCGTACAAGGTCTACCGAATTGAACAGGATGTCTGCTTGTCAAAGCCGGGAGGTAAAAAACAAACAAAAAAACAAACAAACAAAAAAAAAAACAAATAATTAGCTTTGGTCAAACTGACATTGTCTTTTCTGTTTTGTTTTCTGAATTCAAACTGTTGTGTCTGGGCTTACTTGTGCTCACTACTATCCTCTCTCTCACAGCACATCCTCAGACAAAATATGTCTTCAAGCAGGTGAAATTATCTCCAAGAAGCCCTGGTTATCCGGAAAATCAGGTAAGATGAGAAATACACTCATACAGACAACGAGACAGCAATTATAAAATGTGTCTCGAGGCACAATGAATACTTTTGGTTGGCGTGGACGGTTTGAGTGGTTTGGTTGGTTGGGGTGGCAGGGAAAAACTCACTTCACATCAAGGTCACTTCTGACAGTTGATGAATAATTTGGAGTCAATTTAAGATCAGTGATAGTAAAAAGAGGTAGATATAATCAGCTTCTTAATTTAACAGTAGTACTGAAGTTGAACTGCAAATCTTCTTCCATCTGAAAACATGTCTTTAGGCTAGGTAGGGGAAAATCTTGATGATCAAGTCTTTCTGCTCCAATCTTTATTAGATGCTTCCTTAACTTTGGTATCTGTTTTTCTCACTTCAGTGTCAAAAGGAAGAGCTTCAAGCTCACAAAGAAGAAAAACCTTGTGCTGGTAAGAGTTACAAACACAAATATGCTAGAAATTCCTCTTGGCCGTAATACACAACTGCAAATGCCACTAAATGAATATCACTGAAAAGTTCAATTGTTTCAGTAACTAAATTCAAAAAGTGCTACTCATTGATTAATTGTCAGTATTTGTTTCCTCTAGTTTGAATTATTATGGATCATAGTCGATGAAAACTCAAAATTCAATTTCTCTGAAAATTAGAATAACACATAAATGAACTTTTCTAAGACATTTTGAATTGACTGAGATTAAGAGACCACTGCATTGAACCCCACTGGAAAAACCTCCTGGTCATTCCACCAAAAATTGATTTCTGAACTCTTCCTGAGTTGAAACATTACAATTGTTGTTTCTAAATGAATATGAACTTGTTTTCTTTGCAATATTTGAAAGCACTGCATCGTTTTTGTTATTTTGACCATTTCTCATTTTCTGCAAATAAATACTACATTTTTGATTGGAATTGGAAATGTTCTCAGTAGTTCACAGAATAAAGGAACAATGTTCATTTTACTCAAACAAATACCTATAACGAATAAAATCAGAGAAACCGATAAATCGAATGGTCTCTTAATTTTTTGCAGACGTCTATATTTCCGTCATCTATCCACCAGCAACACAGACTTTACCAACTAAATAATACATACCAGTTTTAATAAAAAGTTTTTTTCTGGCCTTTTTTACATACAAAACATGCCTGGATCAGTAACTTTAAAGCGTCATAGCTTCACCAAACACATACTTTTCCTATAAAATGTGTAGGATGATCATAGATGAATGTAGATTAAGTTTTTGGAAGTAATTTAGGATTTGATCTGCTGAGATGATTTTGTGAAAAATGTTCTCTGATGTGTAATTTATTTATTTTTAGTTTAGTTTTTAGTTTTGTTTATATAAAACTTATATTCAAGGTATGAATTTTTAATTT